ACTGCTGGTGGGAATGCAAACTGGTGCAGCCACTGTGGAGAACAGTATGGAGTTTCCTCAACAAACTAAAAATGAAACTTCCATTTGACCCAGTGATCCCACTTCTAGGAATATATCCCAAGAAACCAGAAACACCAATCAGAAAGGATATATGCATCCCTATGTTCATAGCAGCACAATTTACCATAGCTAAGATTTGGAATCAGCCAAGTGCCCATCAGCAGATGAATGGATTAAAAAACTTTGGCACATCTACACAATGGAATACTATGCTGTTGTACAAAGGAAGGAACTCCTACCGTCTGCAACAGCATAGATGGAGCTGGAGAGCATTATGCTAAGCGAAATAAGTCAGTCAGAGAAAGATAAATATCACATGCTTTCACTCATTTGTGGATTATAATGAACAACATAAACCGATGAACAAAAACAGATGTAGAGATAGAGAAGCATTGATCAGATGCTCAAAACTCAGAGGGAAAGTAGGGGAGGGTGGTGTTGAGGGGGAAAGATCAACTAAAGGACTTGTATGCATGCATATAAGCATAAGTGATGGATGTAAACAACAGGGGGTGAGGGTGAGGGCAGGATTGGGGGGAAGAGGGGACATTGGAGGGATAAGGACACATTTGTAATATCTTAATAAAGGGAAAAAATGTAAAAAAATAAATAAATAAAAATAAATGCTCAATACATATTTTAAAAAAAAGAAACAACTCACAAATGAAAGAAAAGGAGGAAACTCCAGAAAGAGAGTTAAATGAAATGGAGGAAAATGAATTAACTGATATAGAGTTCAAAGTAATGGTTATAAGGATGCTCAAGAAACTTTGTGAGAATTTCAATAAACTTACTGATAACTATAGCAGCATAAAACAAGAAATAGAACCATAAATAAGAATCAGTTGGAAATGAAGTATAACATATCAGACATCAAGAATACACTGGAAGAAATAAAAAGAAGATTAAATGAGGCAGAAGATAGAATCAGTGACTTGGAAAACAAGGTAGAAAGAAAATATCCAATTAGAGAAGAAAAAAGAAAAAAGAATAAAAAAGCAGGAGGATAGTTTAAGTGAACTTTGGGACAACATGAAATATAACATTCATATCATAAGGGTACAAGATAGAGAAGAAAGTGAGCAAGGAATTGAGAACCTGTTTAAAGAAATAATGACAGAAAACGTCCCTAACCCAGTGAAGAGAAAATCACACAAGGTCAGGAACCCCAAAAGTTCTAATCAAGATGAACCCAAAGAGACGCACTCCAAAACACATCAGAATCAAAATGGCAAACATTAAAGACAAAGAAAGAATCTTAAAGGCAGCAAGGGAGAGACAGAAAGTTACCTATAAGGGAATACCCATTAGAATGTTAGCTAATTACTCAAGAGAAACACTTCAGGCCAAAAGGATGAAGTATTCAAAGTAATGAAAAGCAAGGACCTGAACCAAAGACTATTCTATCCAGCAAAGCTATTATTTAACATTGAAGGATAAATAAAGAGCTTCCCAGAAAAGAAAAAATAAAAGGCTAAAGGAGTACATTACCATCAAATCAGCACTGCAGGAAATGTTAAGAGGACTGCTTTAAGAAGAAGAATTTGAGAGAGAGAGGAACATAGGTATAAAGAAAAAAAAGGCAGTAAATAAATACTTATCAATAATAACCTTAAATGTAAATAGATTAAATGCTCCAATTAAAAGGCATAGAGTAGCTGAATAGATAAGAAAACATGACCCATATATTTGCTGTCTACAAGCAACCCACCTCAAAACAAAAGATTCACACAGACTTAGAGTGAAGGGATGAAAAAAAATTTTCCAGGCAAATAGAAACAAAAATAAAAAGCAAGGATAAAAATACTTAAAATAGACTACAAGGCAAAGGCCATAAAAAGAGACATAGAAGGCTACTGCATAATACTAAAGGGATCAACACAACAAGAGGAAATAATCCTGGTAAACATATATGCACCCAATATAGGAGCAACTAAATATATCAAAAATCTCTTGAAGGACTCTAAAGGAGAGATTGACAGCAATACAGTGACAGCAGGGAACTTTAACACCCCACTGACAGCACTGGATAGATCTTCCAGAAAAAAAGAAATCAACAAATAAACAGAGACCTGAAATGACACACTAGCACTAGCTCATATGGATTTTATTGACATTTACAGAATATTCTGCCTCAAAGCTACAGAATATACATTCTTCTCAAGTGCATGGGGCATGCTCAAAGACAGACCATGAGTTAGGACACAAAACAAGTTCAAGAATATTGAAAGCATATCAAGCATCTTCTTTTTTTTCTTTTTTTTAAAATATTTTTTTTATTGATTTTTTACAGAGAGGAAGGGAGAAGGATAGAGAGTTAGAAACATCGATGAGAGAGAAACATCAATCAGCTGCTTCCTGCACACCTCCTACTGGGGATGTGCCCGCAACCAAGGTACATGCCCTTGACCAGAATCGAACCTGGGACCCTTCAGTCCGCAGGCCGATGCTCTATCCACTGAGCCAAACCAGTTAGGGCGTCAAGCATCTTCTTGAATCAAAATGGCATGAAACTAGAAATCAATTACAATAAAAATACTCAAAAACATTGAAACACATGGAGGCTAAATAGCATGTGATTAAACAATGAATAGGTTACCAGTGAAATCGAGGAAGAAATAAAAAAACTTCCTTGAAACAAATAAAAATGAATACACAACAACCCAAAATCAAAAGCAGTCCTAAGAGGGAAGTTCATAGCATTACTACCTCAAGAAATAAGAAAACCTTTTAATAAATTATTTAACACTAACACTAATATAATTAGAAAGAGAACAAGAAAAGCCCAAAGTAGAAGGAAGGAAATAATAAAGATCAGAGAGGGGATAAATGACATAGAGATTGAAAATACAATACAAAAGATCAATGAATGCAAGAGCTGACTCTTTAAAAAGATAAACAAAATTGATGAAACTTTAGCCAGACTCATCAAGAAACAAAGGGGACACAAATAAATAAAATAAGAAACAAAAGAGGTGAAGTAACTTCTGATACCATAGAAATACAAAGGATTATAAGAAAATACAATGAACAACTATGTGCCAACAGCTGGACAAATTCCTAGAAAAATACAGTCTTCCAAAACTGAATCAGGAAGAATCAGAAATCCTAAATAGTTCAATAACCACTGATGAAATTGAAGCAGTAATCAAAAAACTCCCAGCAAACAAAAGTTCTGGTCCAGATGGCATTACAGGGAAGTTTAACCAAACATTCAAAGAACTAACAGCCAACCTCCTCAAACTATTCCAAAAATTTCAAGGAGAAGGAACATTTCCAAACTCTTTTTTTTTTATAAGGCCAGCATTAGCCTAATTCCAAAACCAGATAAAAACTCTACAAAGAGCCCAGCCAGCATGGCTTAGTGGTTGATCATCCATCTATGATCGAGGAATTCACAGTTTGATTCCTGGTCAGGGCATGATCAGAACATATGTTTGGGTTGCAGGCTTGATCCCCAGTGTGGGGCATGCAGGAAGCAGCCGATCAATGATTCTCTCTCATCACTGATGTTTCCATTTCTCTCTCTCTCCCTTCCTCTCTGAAACCAATAAAAAAATATATATATTTTTAAAAAGACACTACAAAGAAAGAGAATTACAGGCCAGTATCTTTGATGAACATGGATGCTAAAATCCTCAACAAAATATTAGCAAAATGGACCCAGCAATATATTAAAAAGATAATACACCATGACCAAGTGGGATTTATTCCAGGGATGCACAGCTGGTACAATATTCAGAAATCAATATGTGTGATACATCACATAAACAAAATGAAAGATAAAAAAAATCAAATGATCACATCAGTAGACATAGAAAAAGTATTCGACAAAATCCAACACCCAGTTTTTATAAAAACTCTCAACAAACTGGGAAAACAGGGATCATACCTCAACATAATGAAGGCCATATATGACAAACCTATAGCCAACATCATACTCAATGGGCAGAAACTAAAAGCATTCACCCTAAAAACAGGAACAAGACAGGAACGTCTGCTTTCACACTCTTACTGGAAGTCTTAGCCATACTGATCAGATAAGAAAATAAAAGGTATCCAAACTGGAAAGGAGGAAGTAAAACTGTCATTATTTGTAGATGATGTGATATTGTACTTAGAAAATCCTAAGGATTCCACCAAAAAATTACTAAATTTAATAAATGAATTCAGCAATGTAGCAGGATACAAAATTAACACCCAGAAATCAATGGCATGTTTAGCCACCAATAATGACCGCTCAGAAAAAGAAACTAAAACTTTTTATTTTCTCTTTCTGAGATCATTTATCATTGCAAAAAAAAAAATAATTAATATACTTAGGAATAAACTTAACCAAGAAAGCAAAAGACCTGTACCCAAAAAACTGCAGGACAATGAAAAAAGAGATAGAAAAGATATAAACAAGTGGAAGAATACATCACACTCATGGATTGGTAGAATCAACATCATTAAAATGTCCATACTACCCAAAGCAATCTATTCAATGCAATTTCTATTAAAATACCAATGGCATATTTCACAGATCTAAAACGAACACTCCAAAAATTTGTATGAAACCGAAAAAGACCCCAAATAACCCCAAGAATCTTGAGAATGAAGAACAAAGTTTGAGGGATCACAATACCAGATATCAGGTTACACTACAAAACCACTGTAATCAAAACAGCCTGGTGCTGACACAAGAACAAGCATACAGCTAAATGGAACAGAACAGAGAACCCAAAAATAGAACTAAATTGTTATGCTCAATTAATATTTGACATTGGAGACAAGAGCATAAGATAATGTAAAGACAGGCCTTGGACGGTGATAATGAAGATGATGCAGAAGATGAAAATAACATTGATAACAGAACTAACTCTGATGGACCATCTGCAAAACAGCCAAAAATATCATCTCAACAGTAGCTTGTATGAAATGTAAAAGACTGCTGCCATGCTTGCTTCTGCAGCCCACATACTAAAACTGGAACAATACAAAGATTAGCATAACCCCTGTGCGAGGATGACACACAAATTTGTGACACGTTAAAAAGAAAAGAAAAGACTACAACCATATCGGCATCTGCTCTAATTTAGAAAAGCATTTGTTTTGTTCCTCTGGCACAGTTTTGTCAAAGAAAAAAACTTCTGTTTCCAGAAAAGAAAGATATAATAAAATAAATGTTTAGAAATGAAAAAAACAACAACTGTTTTCAGCTGAGACAAAAGGAAAGATCTTACCTATTTGTAAGTGATATAGGTAAAAAATAAAATAAAATAAAAAACTTAGTCTTGTCATAAGAATTGTTTGGTTCTGTATGTTCTGAGTGACAGGAGAGGGAGGAAATGTTGCTAAGCCACACTGCACATCCCTCCCCAAAACTCCACCATCACCTAGCAACAGGCTGCCTGGTATGACCCTCAGGGTACTGTGAAGTAGAACCTCCACAGGTATGTTGCCTGACAGGCCTATTTGCCTCTTCTCTTCTGGACAGTCATTCAGTCTTGCAACAGATGGGTTTACTGAGTGCTTATGAGTCCCCTTGCCAAGTACTAGGGATACACAGATCAAAAGATGAGGCCTTCAGGGAGAGTTCAGCCTGGTTTTTGGAGAGAGAGATACAGAAACAGATGATTATGCTATAGTGTAGTAGTTGCTAGTATAACGAAATAAAAAACAGGTTTATCTAAACAGCCAAGAGGTCTATCTAGAAGTCTTCATTGAGAGAAAAGTGGCTTTATTTGGGAAAACAACTTGATAAACTTCTGGGTCAGGATTTGGCACATGAGAGACAGATGTTGCTGGAAAGAAGAGTCAAGGATGGGAATTCTTGAAAAAAGGTTGGGGGGCAAGGAAGAGAAAAAACTGATAGCCCAGCTATGAGAAATCCTAGCTGGAAGACAAGTATAAAGAATAGTGTGGCCCTATTTGGTTTGGCTCAGTGGATAGATGTTTGGCCTACAGACTGAAAGGTCCCAGGTTCAATTCCAGTCAAGGGCACATGTCTGGGTTGCAGACTCAATCCCCAGTAGGGGATGTGCAGGAGGCAGCCAATTGATGATTCTCTCTCATCATTGATGTTTCTATCTGCCTCTCCCTCTCCCTTCCTCTCTGAAATCAATAAAGATATATTTTGAAAAATAAGAGTAATGTGGATTACAAGTTCTTTGCTTTTAAAAGCACTCCCTATGAACCATAAACCTTCAATAAATATTCTTCTGCTCTGAACAGAATTCAGATCACTTTTATTGTGAAGGGAGAGATCCAAAGAGAAAGCACCAGAGATAGAAAGCCACAACATGTAGAGAAATGATCAAACAGTTTGGCCAATGCTGAAAATTGGCACGATTGTAACCTTGAGTACACAATCACCATACACACACACACACACACACACACACACACACACACACACACACACTTCAGAGAAATATTGGGATGGTCACTGATTTCCAGTCTGAGAAGCTGGGTAATAAGACCTGAGTTAATCCTATCCAGATCTTAAGGAGTGGTGAGACCTGGGCCAACACCAGGCTTTCCTGTAACACAGGTGAGGGGAAGAGAGTCAGAGAAAGGTGCCCAGTGGATGTGACTCCCATAAGAACTTCTGGGAAGGAGAAGGGGGCATAAGCAAAAGCAAAGAAAGCAAACCTCAGAAAATGGAGAATTTGTCATAATGTGATGGGGCCACATTTAGTACGAAGTAGAGCAGAGGTGTAAACTTCAGAGCTAACATTTCAGCTTCTAAAAATACAACTATATTTTTCTCTCAAATTCACTTCTCAGGAGTATGGCCCTGTCTACCTTCAAGAGTGTCACTATGTTCAGAGGCAGGTAAATGACTAGATAGATAGATAATAGAAAGATGATAGATATCAAGGAAGGACACAAAACACCTGGAGACTGGTAGGAAGGGCGAGGTCACAAGAGGCACTGACTCAGCTCCCCCTGGCAGCAGGCCAGCTGGCCAAGAAGCAGGAGGGAACTCCCGTCCATGGGAGAGTCTATTCCCTCAGAAGATAGAGGCCCAGAGCCCAGTCTGGGCTCCACAACCCAGAGCACCAGATCTGAGACCCACAGCACCCATATCATCAACTGTGAAAGGCGGCAGGGCTGCTGGCTGCCGCGGAGCCTGGAGCTCATAGAACACAGCCGGCTGGAGAGAAAGTGGTAGTTTCATTTTTTTGTTTGTTTGTTTTTCTTTTCATTTTTTTTTTCTCTAAACTGAGAGCCCAGGAGTTTTCATTTGTAACTACTAACCTGAGGCTTCAGTGCAGGGAGGGAGACATGGACTCCAAGTGCCTGGGGAGTGGCTGGGGCGGGAAGCATTGCAGAGAGACTTGATGGAACAGCAGCCAGGAGCATTTGGTCATAGGTCCCCAAACCAAAACAGCCATTTTTCCTGAGAGGAGCTAGCCACTCCCAGCAGCCAGAGGGCAGGTAAAGGGAAAAAAAATCCCATCCTATGTGATACAGCTTGCTCCACCCACAGGTGCCCTGCCTGTTCACCCTGCATTTTGAGCTTTTCAGAAGAAACAAAAGCAGAGGCCACGCTTGGTTTGAATAGTCTCAAGGTGCCATCAGTGACTGGATTGGGGGAGGGACCATCTGCCCCAATATCATGGGAACCAGACTCATGTTTTCTCCACATGGGAGAACTGATAAAAACGCCAGGTTTCCAGCCGACCCTGTTGGTCTCAATACAAGGATCTCTGTCCTACATTCGCAGAGGACTAGCTCTGGGACAGAGAAAAATAACCACTATATTCCCTGAAAGCTAAACAGCACCTCCTCTGCCTAAGACCATTTGAGAAAAAGACTATTGAGTGATTAAGATTGACAGCTGGCTAGCAGGGAAAGGTGGAAAGAGGTGGAGCCAGCGGAACCAGGGGAAGTTTGCTGACCCAGTCCTGGGTCCTGTGCGGCTAACAAACCTACTTTTAGGGGCAGATTGGCCTCTCCTGCTTGCAACCAAGTCCTGTGGAGACAGACACAAGCAGTGGACTGGTGGATCCCTTGGAGCTTCAAGCAGGTTGCCAAAAGCCAAAGGACAGTGCCTGACAGTGGTTAGCACCTAAGATCCTAACAGGAAGCCCAGAAATGGCAGACAGATAATCAAGGTGGGATCCAAAGTGAGCTCCCATTGGAGCATTAAATGAGACTAAAACAAACACCACTTCCGGTTTTTTCTCCTTTTTTTCCCCTTTTCTCTTCTTCCTCCTTTTTTCTTCTCTTTTCTTTTTTGAGTTTTTCTCTTTCCTCTCTTTTTTCCCTTTTAATATTTGTCTTTTTTATCTGCTTTATTGATTTGTTATTATTCTAGACTCTGTTGTTTTGTTCATATATCTAATTTCCCTCTTCTCCTTTCCTACTCAATTTTTGTCTTTTTTCTTCTTTTCACTACTTAATTTTTTTCTCTATTTTCTTTCTCTTTGTTTTTCTCCTGCTTTCTTATGTTTTATTTTTCTCAACTTAGGACTATCTGCTTTCTCCTCTATTTTCCTTTTCAAATTTTTTCTTATCTACTCATTTCTTTTCTCCCTCCTTTATTTTAAACCATTTTCCTTCCCCTATTCTTCTAATTGTTTATTCTTACTTTCTTTGTTTCAGCCCTGAATCTACATATTCTGCCCCCTTGAGTTTTTTTGTGCTTTTTTGTTTGTTTGTGCTTTTTGTTTTCTCCTAGTATTTTTTCTTTCCTTTTTTCTATCATTCTTTTTCTCTTTCCTAATTCTCTACTCTGGTGGTTTCTTTTGTTGGTGCTGTAGGGGTCTTATGTACGTTTCTTTTGTATTTTTTTTTATTGTGTTTTGTTCTGTTCAATCAGCACCTTCATAACAGCTAGCATGACATAACCAGGGTGATCAATATAGTCAGCCAGGCTGAGAGGAGATTCCATCCATGTCAGGATAATAAAATTCAAAACACAACTATAACAGGAAACCCCAAATAACTCAAGTAATGGGCTCTCCTAGAGCACCTAGCTCAGGAGATCTAAAATACTACACCACTGGGTCCCACAAAACACCAACTACATAAGACTACCCCACAAAATCTGGGAGGCATAACAATTTGATCTAATACATAGACACACAAACAAAGGGATAGCAAAAATGGGGAGACAAACTAACAACCCACAAATGAAATAATTGACATAGCTGAAATAAGGAACACCCTTGAAGGTTTCAACAGTAGACTAGAAGAAGCTGAGGAATGAATTAGTGAATTATAAGACAAGGTATAAAAAATACCCATTCAGAGCAGCAAATGGGAAAAAAAAGATTAAAAAAGCAGGAGGAGAGTTTAAGGGAGCTTTGGGACAACATAAAACACAACAACATTCTCATCATAGAGGTACCAGAAGGAGAAGAATCCAAGCAAGGATTAGAGAATCTGTTTGGAGAAATAATGGTGGAAAATTTCCTAACCCAGTAAAAGAAAAAGTCACTCAAGTCCAGGAAACATAGAGAGTTCCAGCCAAAATGAATGTCAAAAGACCCACACCTAGAACATATTAACTAAAATCGCAAACATTAAAGACAAAGACAGAATCTTAAAGGCAACAAAAGAGAGACAGACAGTTACCTACAAGGGAGCTCCCATTAAAATGTCAGCTGACTTCTCAATAGAAATACTTCAAGCCAGAAGGGAATGGAAGTATACAAGGTAAAGAAAACAAGGGGAAACCAAGATGGCGGCATAGGTTAACGCCGGAGTTTGCTGCCTCGAACAACCACTTCAAAAATACAACTAAAAGACAGAACGGACATCATCCAGAACCACAGGAAGGCTGGCTGAGTGGAAGTTCTACAACTAGGAGGAACCGAGAATCAGAGGAGGCGCAGTGCTGAAGTAAAATACTAAGGTGCGGAGTGCGCGCAGCGCGGGCTGGTGGCTGAGGGCGCGGTTGTCTGTTTCAATCCGGAGGGAGCCTCAGACTCTGAGCTCCAGATCCGGGCGAGTCTCTAGGGACCCAGACTCAAACGGGAGAAGCAGGACTGTCTGGCTTCGGTCCCTCCGAGGTTTGCAGCGGTTGCTGGGACAGAGAGGCAGAGCC